CCGAGGGACCTCAGAAGTTGTGGTGCAACCCAAGGCCCTCCCTGTGCTGTGCTGGTACCAGCACCTCCTTAGGACCACACAGCACCGATGGAGGGACCGGTCCCCATCGCCTCCCTGGGTCTCGGACCAGACGTTCTCGGGAAGCACTAACACACAGCACCCCATTACTAAGTGCTGCTTTGGGCCAGCCAGGTTTGCACTGAGAGCAGCTGGACACATTTTAACACAGACACTCTGTACCTGCAGTTTGACCCCACGTTATTTCCATCTTTTGAGGTACAGAGAAATCTGAATTTTGTTCAAAGCAGAGCTGCTTCCCCAGCCCTGACCTCCTATACCACTCCTGATCAAAATGAAGTGATGCTGAGAGTGCTGTTTATTTCCTTAAATTCTATTTACATGTTGACATTTGCAGCCATAAAAACTTCCCTGCAGGCTCAGCATGCTGCAGGAAGGCAGCACCCCGTGTCGGTACGGAGCTGTGCCCATCTGCTCTCCTCTCCACAGTGGAAAGACAGCAGTGCTGCATGTATTTGTCTTGTTCTGCTCAGTCACCAGCTATGACCTGCTATTGCTAAGGCTCTACTTAAAGAATTCTCTTGAAGTTTCACCTGATCCCATCCCTCCCTGCCTGTCCCAGCTTCCAGGCATGCTGCACCCAGAGCACCTCCTGACACTGCCCTGCATGCAGCCCTGGTGTGCCAGCTCTTGCTTTCGGCGTCACCTCCACCTCTCTGCAGGACCCAGAGATGCTCTCTGCCCTTCCAGAGGAGCACAGCCTCATCCAACAGCAGCCACAAGCAGAGCATGGTGCCATTCCATGCAGTCATCACATCCCACAGTGCTTGTAACAGAGCTCACCCCTCACCTGATATCAGTCCTGACCTTTCCTTGTAGTGTCATTAAACTTACTTTGGAAGAGAGAAAGCCTGGGAAGGAAAACGTTTGTAAAATCCTGAGCCAACAACAAAACATTCTGTTGTTGGAAGATTTTTCCTGCATATCTAGGATCAAATGAAAAGCCTGAGGTTCTCAGATGTGACTCGGAGAGCTGGGTTCATGGCCAGGCAGAAGGAACATGCCTCTCTATTGATTGGCCACTGTTACTCATCATCTTTTTACGCTATCAACAAGACAGGAATAGAATGAACAGACAGCTAAACAATAAGGAAAAGTTCTGCAGATGCTTAAAGCCAATAAAATAACTGCATTATTGACAAGGTTATCAAAATGTCAGATGTGCCAGCTCAGCTGGCATTCTTTGCCTTTTTATTAAAGTCTTATTACAAAGAAAGCCTGAGAGCCAGGCAGGCAGAATTCAGTATTCAGTCCCTTTTCTGAAATAATTGCTTAAGATATCTTTTTAAAAATCGGTTTGCAATTTGCATCTTCACGCAAATAAGAGGCACAATGGCTTTGTTGTGCTTTTTTCCCCCCTTTTTTCCTCTCTTTCCTTCCTGGGAATGCGGCGGCACTCCTGTGCCTGAGCAGCACAGCATGGTGCTGCCTTTCCCCCATGGCCCACGGAGCGTTTTATCCCAGCAGCTCAAAGGCTGGGATTCCTGCTGCAGCACCGCAGCCCCTCGCAGGACGCTCACAGCCATGCAGCAGAGATGCCTGCCCTGCTCCTGCCTGCCCCCAGCACTGCTGGCAGAGGTAGCAGCCCGCTCCATGCTGCCCCTCTGGGAGACGTTTCCCAGCATCACTCTCATTGCAGCACAGAGACCGCCCTGCCATCACTGCCGCTCAGCACAGCCAGCTCCAAGGCTTTGGGTAACCAAGCCCACCTTCGTCCTACAGCTCTTCTTCTGATCTCGTTTAAAGAAGCGACAAGAATCATCTGGGCTCTGAGTGAAGCCATGGTGACAACGAGAGCACACTGCACCTCCGCTGCCTGGTGTGGAAGCCCCAGTGTCCGTAGTTCCCAGCACAGGTTTGCTGCTGAGGCCTGTGCTCTCCGTGTGGCATTGCCTTGGCAACATTTTTTATGCTTTGATTAAGGAGCAACTGATGCAATATTTCAGGAGACGGGGAAAAAGGGTTTGATACTGAGAAAAACATTCTGGCTGTTCTGTATTGTCCTTGAGGACTTCGCCGTGTGCCGTCACCGAGTGCTTAGCAACAGATTGGTAGCGGCTTGCAAATCAATCTCTGCAGAGCAGAAAGCGCAGTATACACAATGCTGTGCGTTCCAATTCAAGAGATGCTATTGGGAAGCTGTATAAGCATCAATTATGGTTTTTCAGATGTAGTTAATTATAGAAGGGAGAACTCTGATCACAAATCAGCTTTCCTTACTCCCCTTTCAGCCTTTCAAAAATCAGGAGAGAATTACTATAGATTAGAAAATTAGAAACTGCAAAAAAGTAATTATCCAAAATTAAGATGAGTTGGCAGGCGCTGCTTCTGAGTGGATTTGTGCCAGAGAAGGGAAGAAAAATAAAACTGGCATCCTCTGCAAAGTTTAAAATACAATTGCGGTTATTTTGCCATTATATATTTATATATGCATACACAAAGTCTTTTGTTTTGTTTTGTTTTAAAGAAAGTTGTACTGTAAATAATTCCCCAGGAGTTCCAACAAGATGCACACAGGCATCAAAGAGGAAGAAAGCAGGCGAGTAGAGAATGCAGCTGGAGCTGCTGGGCCGACACCATTGATACCATTTGGGGGGGCCAGGGCAAATCCAGCAGTAGGGTAGTGGATTAGGAAAAGGAATCTCATTTGTGTGTATGTATTCAAAGGGAATTTCAATTTTCTTTTGGAGTTTCTCTGCATTTAAACATCTGAAGCGGAGATGGAAACCTTCCCTTCGCCAGGCGCGATCGCGTCGCTCCGGAACCTGCAGCAATCCCTCGACACAGCGCTTTAAATTCTGCACTAATTGAATTTAAAATTAGTCCCTAGTGGGGCCTAAGTAGAAGCCAAGCAATTTAATGGTCAGACAATTAACAGCTCCGTATTAACCAGGCCTTGTGAACAACAAATGTTGCTGGAGCGATCGTGCCGCCTCACCGCATGTTTTGCTCTACTGTGCTCTGAGGGAGCGAGAAGTGCAGCTCAGCGCTGCCTGGGAGAAGTGCTGCCTTCACTGCTGGGGAACAGCTGAATGCTGATCTGTGTTTTGTTATGACGATTATCTTTACCCCAGGCAGAAGCAGCTCGGTGGGCTCCCTCAGCCGGATTTTCTCTCGGTAACTTCGTGTTCTATTTTAATGCTCCATTATCACATCTGTGCCCTTTTTGGAATCTGTTTGCAGCAGCCAGGATGAGGCACGGTGCCATCAGCAGCAGGACGGGCACAGTTGTGTAGTGCAGAACAGCCATAAGGTGAGAAATGTCCACTGCTGCACCTTCAGCACTGTGTTCTGCAGAACACAGCTGACCACCACTGCACCACAGCTGCACTCAGTGCCTCAGGAAGGGCAGAACAGCCCTGTGCTGCTCAGATTGCACCTTTAGCTGCAGCCATCCCTCCGTTGTCTCCACACCTTCCATTCATAATCAAGTAGTGTGTGAGGAAATGGATTGTGGGCTCCTGATTGCTCCTGTTCACATGAGGGAAAATCACTGAAGCACAGCTGTAACAGGATTTCTCTTAAACAAAAGATTTCTTGGATAAGACGGTTCTCTCCCCCAACCAGATTTTACCCTCCTGCACTCTTGAAAATGCAGTTTTTTCCTGTTCTTCCCCAAGGAAATCCCGCTCCAGCCCAGCAGAGCATTGCTTCTGACATAAGTGCTTCCCTGAGCCCAGATCTGTGTGTCCTCACACCACTGCAGCCCATGCTCCACCAGCAAACTCCCCACACGGGTCCTCTATTTATTCTCTCTCAGATTTACAACCTGCCATATGTAACACTCCTAAAGTTGAAAATTAAGTGCTTCCATCAAATGCTGTCCGTTGCATAAAAGCATTTCTTCAGTGCCTGGCAGGCTGCGGCTGGTTGGAGTGAGGCAGCATGCTCAGAATTCTCCCTGGTGCTTTGCCTCCAAACAGCACCCAACACACGGCCAAAACGTTCCTTCCCTATGCAATGTGTGTAAGGGAGGAGGAACTCATACCGAGTTATGGGAACTTTGAGCTGACCCCATGGTGTGGGAGTGACAGCCACAGCTGGCTTTGGGCAGCACCCAGCAGGATGGGGGCTCACCCACGTGCCCCAACCCCACACAAGGGGGCAGGCAGGTGGGTCTGGTTGTGTTTTAGGTAAAGCTGGTGAGATTTGAGGGAAAAGATAAGAAATGGGCTATGATTTATAAATACTCCACAGGTCAGTTCTGCTTTGTGATAGAGGATCCCATCTCTGCTCCCCGCTCCCCAGCTCCTTCAGCTGGCTGCTGGCAGTAGGAGCTCTGCTCCTTGTGAGTTTTTTCCATTGCAGGGAGTGTCATTTCCAACTCAGACTGCCTCCATTTTTACAAGGATGAGTTCCATTGGCTTCTGCAGAAACACCTCTGAGCTGTCTGTGCAAAAGGAAACTGCACCTCTAGCAAGAGGGATGCTGATATGAGCCACAGGGTGCACCGCTGCTTCCCCTCCCCTTTCCTATCCCTCCTGTCTGAGGGTGGCAGTTAAACTCCCGAGCTGCACTGAGATACGTGCTTGTTCTCCTCACTGTGCTGACTTTTTCCATGGTAAAAATGCGTATCTGAAGAAAAGGAAAAGGCAAATGGAATGAGTGTGGTGTGAATGTAGGAGGTGATAAATGAGCAGAGAAGCATTCAGCAAAAGGAAGGAGGCTGATCTAATGTAATGCTGCGTACAGCGCCGTGTCAGGTGGCTTCCTCATTTACACCATGCAGACATCACCAATTGCTCAGCTCAGGAACCTTCCCTCCATGGGACAGTGAGTGCCCACAGCTATGGGAGCAGAAGTCACCTTCTGTGCCCAGAACTGTGAGATGGGCTGCGCTCAGGCCTGAACTAAATGTATGACTTCCTCCAGCACTTCTGCCACAGAGATTGCCAAATCACTGAGGCCGGTGCTGGAGTTAGCACTGCTTCTCTGCACCTCGATTTCACTGAATCCTGCCTGGGGGACTCCCTAACTCCTGAACTGTCCTATGAAGCCACAGCCCCACCATCTGATGAGAGCACCAGGAAAAGTAAGATCTGCTCCTCTGAGACCTACTGAGGGGACACCATTTTCACCATAGCCTGGTTAAATGAGCTGAATTGCTGCCCTAACTGAAGCAGGGCCGCACTCACGTTGGCAGCTTGTGGCATTCTTGCCTCACCAGGAGATGCCAATTTAGCCACTGTGGCTCTGAGCTCTGCTGAGCCTGCTGACAGCACACCTTGCTGAATGCAGACGACTGCAAAGGTTTAACGCTCACTTCCTTGCTCCTCTAACAAAAACTGCTGTGATTACTGACTACAAAAACTGTTTCAAGAATATTATTCTTGGAAACTCCGCTCCCAAGGTTTATATTACCATGTCTGCTCTGTTTGCGTGCTGCCTTGCAGCTCATAATCTAGCAGGGGCAGCTACAAGAGTTGTGTACAAAGTACTGCAAGCCTCATGCCAACAACAATTGCTGTCTTTACTGATGCACACAAAATAAATGCTTCCATTCACTCTGGGAAAGGCATACTTTGCTCTTCCCTCTGTAAGAGATGTGCATTTGGGAAGTTCTTTCCTTTGCACCATTTCTTCATTTGAGTTGTCAGTGCAAGAAGAAATATCCACAGAGAGCACATAGTTGGTTCTCTGGGTGTGCAATTCCAGCTCGAGAAAACATGGATTTATATTTTGCTTTAGACTTTGGGTTAGTCTCTGTTACATGTTTGAAAGGTCTTCAGGCTGAATTAGGCACAGAATCGTTTTATATGAACAGTCACATTTCGTAGTGCTGCTTCTGTAAAGGCTTTTAGCATTTTACTTTCTTAGCTTTCCTTTACCCCTCTAAAACAGAGGAAATAAGGGATGTCCTTCAGGATAAATGATGGCTGGTTGCTGTTCCTGTTCCAAACACACAATTTGCTGAGCAGTCGGTGACTAATGCTTCACTTACACTGTTGACAACTATTAGATTGACACTGCTACAGGGATTTATTCTGGGCATATGATAATGACTTGCAGGGTGTGCTGCTTCTTCAGTACTTAAGCAACTGTTTTCACTTCTGGTCTAATTAATTGCATCCAGTTAAAAAGGAGCTTGAACGCTGTGTTTGTCACTTTCAGTCATTTGACCTTCTAGGAACATTAAATGTGGAGCTTAGTCTGCCTCTATGCAGCTCTCCCTCACAAGCTGCATGTCATGAATGTTAAAATAATTAACCTACCAGGCCTAATTCCAGCGTGCGGACCTGTAGACGTTCAGATGGGACTCCATCTGTACTTGTTTTCTTGTTCTTGGTATTTGGTGTTTTATAATACCATCCTGTAACAAACTGGGGAATGTTCACATCAGACAGCTTTTGCAAACTGTATTTATACAGGGATGTTTACAGCCTGGACTGGGGAAGCCTATTCCTGCAGTGACCCAAAGGAAATGAAGTGTGAGCTGAAGACAGTGGGGCCCTGTGGGGCCTTTCCCTGGCTGTGGTTATGGGAACCAAGGCGTCCTTCAGCCTCAGCAGCAGCTCTGAGTGGCCATCCCAGTGCCACTGGCACTGCACCTTTAATGTGCACGTGGCCAAACCTCAGCCTTCCTCGGGGGCAGCATTAATGTTCATTGCCAGCACATATAATTTAGCATCTGTGAAATGGAAACACGTAGAGAAGCACGCAATGAAGACAAACAAAAACAGCTGTTTCCTCTGAAGTAGAGTGGTAGTATAGAAGAGCTTCTGAGTTGCTGGAAAAAAGCAGTAGGAGGTTGGTCTTCATACCTCAGTGCTCTGCAACGCAAACAGTGCAGTGCATGCATGTCTAGTAGAGGGGTCACTTCACAGGGCCCAGCATTAATGAGATAAAACCAAGGAAACACAGTTGAAACAAAACACTGAGTAGGACTCATACCGTGTGCACAAAGCTCACTTCTGTTCAGCTAACATGGAAGAGAGTGAGCAGCTGAGGTTGCTCCAGAATGAATTTGCCCTTTGGAGGATAAAATGATGTCCTGGTCTCTAGAGAGGGTTGGAGTAGAGACATAACAACATCTGGCCATGGGAAACCTTGCATCCCTTCTACTCAGAGGGAGCGAAGCAAACAAACCCTGAGGTCACGCCAGGGAATGTAAGCTACGGAGAAGTGGCAAAACCCAGCAGTGTTTGGTCTGTGCATCTCTGTTTACCTGAACTAAGAGATCACTTTCTGAAAAGCTACTTCAGATAAAGGAGACCCATAAGTGCATTCTGAAGGTTTGGGTTGTTTGGAAGTGATTTCAGGGGACAGTAATTCACCCTGCGGCGATGCAGAGTGCACCTGGAGTGCACATCCCATGCTCCAGGGCATGCACAGGGCGTGCGTCTCTGCCAGCTGACACTGACCTGGACACACAAAGTTCAGCTAAAATTGGACTGACTGTTTTCTTCTAAAGAGGCTGAAGGTGAGCTGTGAAATGGCTGTGGGACCATGGTGGGATGTGCCTCTGCTCACTGCTCCATGGGCGCTCTGAGGAGCGGCTCTGAATGCTTTACAGATGCCGTCTGTTCAACACGAGGGATGAATGTTTGCTCGAGATCCCACAGAAGGTCAACAGAGAGGGACACAAATTCAGGTCTCGCAGATGATGCTGCCGTCAGCCTCGTGGGCCAGAGGAGCCCCAGCTCATCTCCACGCAATGGGCCGGCCACGTGCCAGAGGCTGATGCTCACAGCTAATGAGCTATCCCAATTAAACACCTGGCTCGTTTCAGAACTGTGCTGCACTTATTTCAGAGGCCAGGCAGCAGGGGCTCAGCGCTCCGTGTCTCTTTGGCAGCCTGATGAAACGGCAGCCATGCCTTACTGCTTGCTGAGCACCCAGCCCGCTGGGCAGTGGGCACTGCTGCTAAGTGCTGCATCAGAGCCAAGTATTTGGTTTGACATGGAAATTCTTTTTTTCCAGTTTGGTTGCTGTTTGGCATCACCTGAATACTTATAAAGTCTTGATGCATGTCACTGGGGGTTGGACCTGATGGTCTGTAGAAGTTCCCTTCCAACCCCTACAATTCTGTGATTCTCTGTGATTCTGTGACTTTAAAACAGTCTTCTTTTGCATATGTAAAAAACAAAAACAAAACAAAAAAATAAATATCAAAAAAAACCAAAAAAACAAAACAAAACAAAAAACTAAAAGATAAACCCCCTCAGAAACAGAGACAAGACTCACTGAGACTTTTGGAAAACTTCAGCCTATTCTCCTGACCAAAATATCAGCTAATTTCAATAATTCTTAGTCACTTCAGCAGAAACGACAAACCTGAATGAAAATGGATGCTCACACGTTTCCTTCACAACGCAGAACACAAACCAGACTGGCAGAGAAGCATGGGCAAACTTGTGCTGTGCAACTGAAGCCCTCATGGAAGCCCTTCTTTCCCTACTGGAGCTTTAGCCAGAAACTGGTGCTGCCCATAGAACTTCAAACCGGAAGTCGCCGTATTTTAATTAACCGGAAGATAGTTTAATGCCAAACTGTGTAAGAGACAGAACTTGGCAGCTGGTGCTTCTGAAGGACTTGGCACCCAATAAAGTTATCGTGGTATTTTTGCTGATCAGTAAACACTGTAATTTGTGTCATAGAGATAATTTGCAATTAAAAACTTATTAACAAAGTTCAACAATAACAAGAGGGATAAAATGCCAAGATGTGGAATTGTTTAATTATGTGAAATAGTTCTACCAAATCCGGGGCTCCGTGGCACATTTTTTCCTCTCTCTAATGAACGACCCGTTCTCACTGAATTCTAATTAGCCTCAATAATGACGATCCTGCTCAAGTATTAGCAGCAGACAACGCGAGGTGTCTGCATCCATCCCTGCACTGCCCTCGGGTTCAGCCATGCCATGCAGGTTGCACCGTGCTGCAGAATGCTGGTGCCAGGGCCGTGCAGCAGCTCCGTGTGGGGACAGGAGTGCTACTCAACACACAGCGATCCATCACTGTGCCGAGCACGTCGCCCCGTCCCTCCTTTCAAGCAGATTAAGTGCCTGAGCTTATCCAGACCTGCTCAAAGCCTATTTGATCTCGAAATAGGTCTGAAGAATCCAACAAGAAAAGGCTTGTAGGAGATTTTCCTGTTTAATCACCATTGGGAATATAAGAATTGGAAACCGAAGAGCAGAACGCCTTCAGCATGTCGCTCTGCCAAGACTGCAAAGCGCTGAAGTGTATGAAAAGGAGGAGATGACAAGTCCCCTGCCCTGCCAAGCCTGAGCTGCTCCCATCCGCAGCAAAGAGAAGCAAACGAGCACGACTGTTGAGACAGCCCTGGTGAATGTTGAACTACAGACAGAAGAGCCCTCATCCTGTCTGTGCCACGTTTCTTCCTCACTCAGGGGCTGAGCGCTGCCCATTCAATTCCTGTGCCCCCCTCAGCTGCAGCCCCTCAGCCCGGCACCAGGCACACTGCACACCCGCTCCTCCCATTACAGCTCCTGCTGTCCTGGAGAGTCCCTGAATTCTCTCCACACCTTTCTTAGAAACCAAGGGCTTCTCCCCATCAAGTCTTCTGGCGTGTCTCTGTGAAGAAAGAGAACATGGTGCTGCAGGAGATTGAACTGGAGATGTACCATACAGACTGCAGGCAGAGGAGAAGCAAGACTTAACTCCCAGTGCAGATCCACAGCTGCTCTGCTCCTCAGAGGATGAAGGAATTACTTAATATTTCAACTGATGATATTCGACATATCTTATGTGCAAAGGGTGTAAGTGACTGGTTGTTAATGATGTCCGTGGTAATGAGGTTCAGATTTCAGTGATTTGCAGTGCAAATATCCTCAGTGTTTCAGGAAAGTTTTCACTTTTCACTTTGCAGCATGGATTTGCTCTCACAGCCATCTGAAAAGTGCGTGAGGCTGCAGAGAAGTGCCTGCAATATTTGTGGGGAGGGCCTTCCCCACGTTATTAGCTTGGCCAAGGAAATATTAAATCTTGAACTGAAGCAAAATGAGATCCCATCCCTTTAACAGAATTATTTCAGCCTCCAATAACAGCGTCTCATACTTCAAGCCTTGAACTGGAACAAAGCACTCTCTCTTGATCTACTTTCTCCCACTCCTCCTTGCCAGCCTCTGCTTTTCTTAGTGTGCTGAGGCATTAACCCCGTGCAGATTCGCTGCTTTACATGTCCCAGCAGTGAACAGAAATGAAACACATGCTAAAGAGAAATAGGCTTCAATTCAAGCAAAATCTGCAAGAGGGGTAGGCTGCTTTGTCTGAGAAACAAAAAGAAAAAAGAAAAACCCCTGGATATATCATGGGTCAGACCACATTAATGGAGCAGTAAGTGCTGGATGTCCCCAGGACACACGCAGCCCTTGCTCAGAGGTGGCCAGCAGTGCTCTGTGTGGAGCATCCAGCTGCTGGGCACACCTGCTGCCGACGAGGCTCTCTGCCTTCCTGTGCCAGTCTGCCTCTCTCACACCATAAAATATTTCGCCATCATGTACTTTTAGTTGTGTAACCATACTAATGAGCTCTAAACCAAAATAATTCTTTCCAAGGCCTTTCCTTGTATTCAGATGGGAGTAAAAAGTGAAGACGTGCCATTACAGAGGCACAGCATGGTTCAGAGCACATGCCTGTTGCCAGGGCAATTTTTCTCCTTTCTGAGGCTGCAGGGATCACAACCACACCGTGCAGCTGCCAGCACCACACCATGAGCTCCGTGCTGAGCTGGGTCGGCTCCTCCAGGTTCTTCACCTGAGCAGCAGAGGAAGGGCAGGGACTCTGCCCCCCTTGGCAGCTCCGAGCAGAGCCAGGGCTTTTTGCTGCAGGACCAGTCATGACCTCAGCGTCCTTCCACTTATTTAGAGGCTAAGCAATCATTTCTCTGCATGTCTCTCATGGATGCTATGCCTTCTGGATCTTGTTCCTGCTCCTGATCAGCTCTCCTTCTCCATGCACTGCTCATCACCCTTCCCAAAACATCTTTTCTAAGTTGCCTTCCATGAACCAACCACTTTTTCATTTCTTCTTCTTCTTCTTCGTCTTCTTCAAGTCTCCAGAGGTGTTTTCCATTGTTTATTTTACTTTCGGCATCAAATCAAATGGGCAACAGAAGAGACCAATGTTTTTCAGTGTACCCAAACTTCTTTCACATCTGGAAACATGAGGTGAACTCAACTGCCCTCCCATCAGTACATCCACACATGGGTGTGAGTGAAAGTACTCTGATCTCTCAAGCGTTGGGTGAATGCATTTGTGTAACAGAAGGCACTACAGGAGAGCAATGAGCTCAGTGCCCGGCTCAGGTGTGAGCACACCAACACTGCTCTGCTTCAGCCCGTCCTGGAGCTGAACAGCACAGCACAGCCCCTCCTGCTTCATCCATTAAGTTACAAAGATTATAAGTCAACAGTCATGGATTCTTCAGCACAAGAAGTGCGTATGCATGACACCTTTTAGAGGACATCAAAATGACAGGGGAATCAGGAAGCTCAATAACCTCCAATTACTGCGAAAGAAGGTTGAATGAGGAGGGGGAACAGGGGTCTGGCAAGTTTGCAGGCATTTCCCTGATAAACTTAGAAGTGAGTTGGGATCCTGTGAACTCATCCATCTGCAGCAAAGCAAACAGCTGCATGGCCCACTCTCCCAGCACAACATTCCTGGAAACAGCAATTCTGAAAAGCAGCAGTGTTTCATTTTCCTTCTTTGTTTTTCTTTAAGAAAAGCACACAAACTCACTGTCTTCAACCGATTATTCAGATCTATCGACTTGCAGTGTCAACAGACATTATACAGCAACAATTTCTGACACAGAAACAACAATGCAGTATGATAACAACCAAGTACAAAATAGTCCATCTGAATCCTTGTGAGTGCATGCAGTAAATTTCCTCTATTGCCGTGGGTGCCACCCCACACTTTCACTTGGTGAGTGCATTCTCTAGTTGGAGAAGTATGCAGAGCAGAGATGCTTTTTTCTGCATCTCTATGCAAATGCTGAGTGCCTGCCTCGTCCCTCCCAGGCCCACACACTCCATTTCACACCCTCCCTCATGGTATCCCCTCATCACATCCCTCCATCACACCATCACATCCCCCCCCCCCCTCATGGCTGCAGTGCAGGGTGGGGGCAGCGCAGGGGGATGGGGCCGAACCCCCAGCTCACACCCACCCGCATTCACACCCCAGCAGCATCGTATCTTCGTATCTGCTCAGGCCAAGAGGCTCTCTGGAGGCATCTTCCAGTGGTTTTTTTTGTTGTTGTTTGTTTGTTTTTAATACATCCTTTGAGGTCTCCCCTGCAAATCCTGGAGCAGAGCTTGCCAGGAGAAAACTGCAGAGGAGAACTGATGAGAGAACGCAGCAGCACTGGGCCTTACAGCCACTTCCCATCTTCACCTAGTGCTGGATGACAGCACAGGGACTCACTCCACCTCTGATTTGCCCTCTGTCCCACAGCTGCATCCCCCCATGCCTCAGCACCCACCTCCCACTGCTAGGAGCTCCTCACAGCCACACTTTCAGATCAACTCAAACTCCCAGAGCACATGGCAAAAAGAAGGTGAACAAACCCCTGTGCGTGTCCTTCCTCATGGAATTGAGCCCTAATTGCTTACAAGCATTCACTTATCTGGTGAGTGAAGTAATTAACAACCATGCTAACCACGTTAAGCGGAGCATGGCCAATTACCCGCCCGCTCCTGAGAGCAGCAGTGATGTGCTGCAGTCAGCCAATCATGATTCTCGCTGTTTTCTTCTCGGATGCTGAGATTACAGTTAAGCAGAATCATTACCTAATTAAAACCAGAACCAAATCAAAGTCTGAGACATCTCAAATTAGACAGTAATGTCAGATAAGCAGCCCAACAGAATACTGCTTTGGAAATTATTGTCATGACTCCAGAATGAAAGCACATCATAGAGCAAGGGCTCCCTGGCACAGGCACGTCTCGTAACAGCACTACAGACGCACAGGCAACACAGACAGGACTGCAGCGTGGGGTGGCAGGTAGGTTTGCCTTGTGTGCTTCTCGCTACACATTTCCCAGCACAGACAGGGAGCCAAAAAGGCAGAACCTGCAGCACCCAGCAGTGCTGTGTCACACATCACAGAGGCTCCCGCAGGCGCCCCGGTCCCACACTGCTCTGAGGTGTGCTGGGAGCAGGAGGGCCGGCAGCGCACTGCCGTCACACGAGGTCGGACTCAGGGCAGTGGCACGAGCTCCTCACACACTTGTCTTCAGCGTCGCCCACAGAAAGAATTCTAAATTTAAATGCTGAGCATTGCTTACAGGGATGTTATAAATTCAGACTCCCACTCTGACACAGTTTCAGACGGGCTAACGCTGAGCTTCCTGTGGCTTCAACTCAAACTTCGCCCACCTTCTCCCACCCAGATATCACTTTTCTCCTTAAGTGCATGCAACCTTTTTGCTGCTCAGAGAGTGTGTGACCCCCTCCACCCCCCATTGGTATCATGCAGCAAACTTTTGCATTTTGAAGCCTCTCTCCTTTCACATGCACATCAGATTGCTGGAAATTAGGAGATGCATTACTCAATTAAGAGTACAGGAGCCAGCAAGCTCAGCATGCTGAAGGACCCACAGCGTTCCCCTGGCCCTGCTCACAGCCCCGCTCTGGCACAGCCCTGCAGTGCTGCTCAGCACCGTGTGGGTCTCAGCACCGACCCACTCGGGGGCTCCGGGCCCTGTAGGGATGCAGCAATCAGCTCCCATCCCTGTGACCGCAGGGCGAACCCTGAGCAGATGATTTCATCGGGCTCAGCTCCGTGCAGCCGCCTTCCTCCTGCTCCGGAGGTTTGTTCTCATTCTTGGAAGATTTTGATTTTTTTACTTGTTCAGGCAAAGCCGACACATTTGCAGGGCTGTGCAGACTCTTTTCAAAGGTGGAAATGCAGGAGGGCCCCCTGGTGAGTTCTGGCTCCGGGCTGCCCCTCGTGCACAGTGCTGAGCGCGGTGCCCCTGGATGGTGTCCAGGATGAGCTCAGCCCACGGTGCTGCACCGCCTGCCAGCAGTGCTGTGCTGCTGGGGGTGCACAGGCAGAGGTGTCACGCAGAGCAACAGATGAGGCGCTGTGCAGGTGGGTGCGGTGCTCCCCTGGGAGTTCCAAAAGGCACCCATGTCTTTTTGCTGTGTTTTGTGCTGTCTGTCTGTTGGGCGGCCATGGAGCGCAGTGTTCGGTGCTGTTATCGGTGCTTTTGCAGAAGTTCTTCGTTGCACATTTCCTTTCAAACCAGCCCAAACCAGCTAACACAAACACATGTGGAACACCGCACCGGGAAATTCCAAGCGCGGCGCTTTCTCACACTTGCCATCATCTTACACATCCCCTTGGCAAGCAGACACATATTTTTCAGCACATCTTTCATCCATCTATTTACTTTAATTAGTGACTATTCCTGGCCATCTCTGAAAGAAGGTATTAAAGCGTAATCCATCAGCAAGGAGAAGTCAGCTCCTATGAGAGCCTTAGGCCCTGCTCTGCTCTGCCTGTGGGTCCCCGTGCCCTGCAGCACTGCGTGGAGCTGTGCAGCCCGGCCCCACTCGGCCCCTCTTCCTCATGCTCCCTGTGTGAACCTCTGTCGTACATTTCCAGATTTGCAATAGGTACAAACCATCACTTGCTTTCAATCCCCTCAGGAACAACTTGCTTTGCAGGAAAATGTAAACACCTGAAAGCGGTTACATTCTCTGCTATGTGGGTCAAAGTGCTTCAGAAGTCCAAGCATTCATCTCTCTCATTTAGGCAGCCACTAAGATAAAATCTGGCCACTGTAACCTTGAAGTGACCTTCACCAATCTTCTCAAGATCTCTTAATCCCTTAATCTGATGAAGCGTTTTGACCTCTGAGCATTGGGTGGATCAGTGCCTTGATGGCATTTGTGTTAATTACTCCTCAAACTCTCAGAAAGCAAAAAGATCTCAGAGTAGCATTCCTAGTCCAAACTTTCCTTCTTTGCAGTAAAAAAAAAAAAAAAAAAAGAAAATCAAACCATCCTACCTGTGTTGCTGAGCCTTCCCAGATTTTCTCTTTGGTTTGTTTTGCTTTAGGCATCGCTGCTCGCTGTGCTGCTTGCATGTCACCTGAACTGCAAAAATAGGAAGGATTGCTTTAAATTGTTTATTAAAAATCACTTTTTGAAACTGTTGCACATATTTAGGACTCCTCTCTTCCCACCAGTGGCAGGGACTCTACCTTTTTATTTCCCTGTAAACATTAAGAGACATCTCTGGGCTTTAAATCAAGCTTTCTTAATAAATAGTTTGGTTATGTCACTCTAAGACATCAAGAGCAGGCATCTTTTCAAGAATACTATAGATTAATATTAATATTATTGATATTATTATTTTTACCAACTTGTCAGGTTGGATAGCCAATCAACAGGCAATATAAGGCATTCATAAATGCCCAAGCCAGATTGATCCAGGAAAAATAGACAAATAACTCTGTCTTTGGTGAGCCAGTTTCAGGAGCAGCCCAAGGTGTCCATGGAATGACAATGGGCAGCAGCAGTGGGCTCTGCCAGCAGGGGAGGGCTGTGCCTGCTGCTCAGAGAGAGCTGCCAGCAGCCCTGGTGGCTGCTCCTATCTCACAGTTATGTCACCTTACGCCCCTGAGGAGAAGAGGAAGCCCATACAATTCATTACAAAACCACAGCGAGAAACTCTGTAGCTGCACGGCTGCGTGGAGGCTGACTCCCTCTCTTCCTTTCTCTGCTCCTCATCAGCTCTTGCACAGCAGTCAGCTGGGGGCTCCCATTTCCATTCCAAACAGAGCACGATTGTGGATCACAGGGCCACCTCTGGCCAAAACAGTGTGCTGAGAATAGGCCAGGGTCTGCATCAGCACAGCTCCGCCATGGTGTCTGGGGAGGTGGGGGAGCTCACCAGGCCAAGCACACACTGCAACCCGGCACAGCGGTGCGACCCTTCTGACAGCCGCAGAATGAGCTCTTACCAGCAGTGCTCATTAATTCCTATTTACCATCCCTTACAACATTACCATCCCTTACAACAAGGTCCGTCGGCAAACTGGACCATGGAGGAAACGCTTTTCTTTTGGTATGGTCACGTGCACGATGCCCAGATGTGTTCTGAGGCCTCAATCACCCTCCAAATAAATTCTCAGCTCCTGCAACCATAACGGCTCCTCCTGGGGAACAGTGAGCGTGAACCAAAGCAGGAGGATCCGATTGATTACCATTGGCTTTATGGTTTGGAGTCCTAAATACACGGCTTCAGCAGAATGAAGGTGCACAGAGTCTCGAACTGTGAGGTAAAACCTCACAAAGGGCCGTTACATATTCTGGTGTTATGCTCACAGTACACATACCTGCTTGTTCTAAAAAGCATTTCCTTATTTCAGCCTGGTGCAATGCACGCACATCCAGCTCCCCGGCCTGGTCATTCCCAAAGCAACTCTTCCCCAGAAGCAGCATTTTCCTCACAGCCATCAGATGAAGAAGCAGGTTTCTGAGGTCACAGCCTGCCCACAGATGGAGGACTTGGTGACCCAAACTGCATCACTCTTCACCACTGCCAGAACAGCAGAGACAGTTCAGAGTTCTGTCTGATTCTGCTTGGGAGCCTCAACTTTCCCTGAAGAAATGGGGCAAAATGAAGCAATGCATGCTTTCAGATTTCTCAGCTGGCAATGAGGGAACCCCGGTGGCCACAGTGCAGGTTGCTGAGGGCATAAATTGTTGTAGGACACAAAAAAGTGAAGCAGGATGTCCTGGCAGAAATCAGCAGTGCAGATGGCTGCTCCAGAATTCCTGCTGGGGAAAAGAAGTGGCACACTTTTAGTATAGTGGTATCCATAACCTTCAGTGCTATGTCCATATCAAATCAGCTTAACAGTAACACATTCAGCCAAAAGGTTTTTAGCATAGGCACTGCTAAAGGAACATGAGAGCAGCGAGGACCTTTTCCAGCGCTGGCTGACTGGTGTTCTGCAGCTAAATCTCAGGTTATAAAATGGAAATGGGAGTGTTACAGTAAAACCCCTCTGCACGTGGGAGTGATTACATTGCAGGCTTTCCTTGTCATCCAGCACCTAGAAGGACAAGAAATCCTGCTGCTGGTCTCTAAAAACCCAAAGTCCCCAAATTCATTACTGGAGTGAACAGAGCTCCTGTGAGCAGCGTGTGCCATCGTTCATTCCTCCAGGCCACACCTGGATTTAGTTAATGAAAGTCAAACTCTTAATAAATACCTCTTAAAATCAAAGAAACTACTAAAGACGGTGTTTCATTTCATTGCAAGCAGTCTCCTCTGTTTGTTAAATTGGAAACTATTTTCACCTGATACTTTGGAAATGAAGTCACGACCTTTAATAACTCCATTCAGACTAAATGCATAAATAGAGCTAGAAGGAGTCTGTCCAAGTGCTAACCAGAGCATATCCCATATATCTTGCAGTCATTAATGGCTGATGAATTATGCTAATAATGTCAGAGGACATTGGCAAGGTTGATGGACCCAAACTTGCCCTTGTTTTGACAGTACTTCTATGGGAGAGGGCTCTTATGGGGAAAGCAATTACCCAAAAGAGATTGGTTAATAGCAGACTTCTCCAAGGTGATTTGGATGGATGGGCAGTGCTAGATGTATATAATGGGATTTTTTATTTTTTTCTTATAAGAGCACAAATTATGATTCACCCTGATTTTCAGTTCTGGTGATTTGCCAGCATTCAGTGTCATCCAATATCAGAACAGGGCTTTATGACTCCCAGAGGCCATGAGCAACAGAACAGAGAACCTTCATCCAAGGTTTTGTGCAGTTCAGTGCTGGCACACCTGAGTGGTGCAGCCAAAGTTGGTGCTGATGTGGCAAAGCTTCTCATTCCCATGCATGCTGTGCACCCATTTGTTTTAATGAATCACCGAGGGTCATTTCCTAAATGTTTAATACCACATATAAATAAATGAATGGGCAGCACCAAGGAGATCGTAAATCAAGAATAACAGAGATGACACAGTACAAAAGAGAAGCTCAGATGGCAACTCTAAGAGGATGAACTGATGCCTCAGAGAGGTTAAGGTGCGAAATTTGGATGCTATGGGCTCAGGTGAGCTGATGGTAGCACGCCAGTATCTGCTAACTGGACTTCCTATATTTAGTGCAGTGACCTGACTTCAACTAAATGGTCACATCCCATTGCATCCATCAGGATTTATGCAAGTGGCTGAGTGCTTCTCTGCCTGCAGGCTGCTAGTTCACAGCTTTAAATGCAACTAGATACCACTGGTATTGCTAAACCAGGGTCTGTGGTCAGAGCATGGACTTTAAAAATAACTTGTATTAAGTTAGAGAAGCTTTAAATACAGAGGGAGGGAAAAAAAAAAAAAGGAGCCCTGGAAGGGAACCTGGAGAGCAGAGATTGTCAGGCTGTGCTGCCTGCATGGCCGTGGCAGAGTGCAGGGGAAGAAAGCATGCAGGAGAAAAACACTGAAATGCTTTGCTTCCGCTTCAGAGTCACAAATGTTGATTATTTTGCTCTTATGTTCTAAGAGGAAATAAATCTCTAAAAGGTGCCACTTCACTCCTTTTCCTTTTTTCCTTCCCTACGTGTAGGTATAAAAACAAAGTGTAAAGCTGCAAGCATTCATCCCACCAGGGTCCTGCATGGACCAACCATCAGCACCTGGCACGGAGCAGGGAGCAGAACTCACCTGCTGCAGGCACGGTTCCCACTGCTCCCACAGCAAAGGGCACCGTGCTGATGGGGTGAAGCATTCCGGCCCACTGACACACAGACGGCTCTCAGATCACCAACACCCCCAGCAGCTGGGCCCACCCCAGCACGTTTCCCTGCTTTCAGCAGAAGAAACCACACCAGTGAAGATACCAGCCCAAAGTCGTCTGCAGCTCCTTCCAGCTGCGGCAGTTCCTCCTTGCCATTGTGTTGAAGCCAACGCAGGAGAGCAAACCAAAGCGCTCACGGACATCCTGTCTGCAGCAGCCAGAGTTCAGAAATCAGGAGTTTTCATATTTCAGAAACTCAGCGTCTCCAAACCCCACAGCCAGAAGGCTGCTGCGGCCAGGAGCCCCTCCAGCACTTCTCTTTCCCCCCATCCTAGCAGCTACAATCTTTCCCGTTTCATCTCCTCCTGAAGACAAAGCAAAGCGAATTCAGTCCTCCAAGCATTAGCAAAGCAGCATGCACAGAGCCGTGAAGGGCTCCACAACCACAGGGAGCTGCTGCGGGAGTTCCCAGGCACCTGCTCAACCCTGATGGCTACAAAGTGCACTTCCATACATCAGTAACCATTTAAAATGTTTCTTTGAACTGGTAACAGTTAAATCCTTAAACTGCATGTAACTCTGGTCCCCTGGTAGCAGTAACTGTTACTGTGGCAGGGGAGTAAATCCAGATTTACAGGAGCACAGCTGGGATGGAGCCCAGCGCTGCTTCCCAGCCCTCAGTTGTGCAGAGTACTTCAAATCTGTTCTTAAATTTGCAGTGTGTACAATCAGGAACATTGGTCATTTAAGAGACAAGAAAGATAAACACAAAAACTGAACATATGTAGATGCCTGGGCCACCGGGAATACAATTCTCCAATTAAAATATTAATAAATGCAGAATATCCCTCTCCTTAATTAATTGGTTAAGCAAACAGTAAGACTAGGTGAAATACTTCCATGATTATTTAACACACAGCCAAATCAAGAAAGTTGACTGAATAGCAATTCCTCAATTAACATACAATGAAGAACATTTGAGTTTTAATTAATCCTTATTGGCGCTGCAGAGACTTCCATGGAGAATCTATTCCGACTCATTTCATAGGCAGGCGCTTCAAGTGGAGGTAATGTCAACATTTGGTGTCCAATATAAATCCACTTATTAAAACTGATAGAAATACACGGGGTTAAAATCAGATCCAAGGGGTGAGTACACTCGAGGGGTCACAGCTCCACACAGCATCGCTGCTGGTACCCGGGCACAGCTTTGCTGGATCCTCAAGTGGGGCTGGATTTGGTGTCATTGTGATTTTGGGGCTAAACCTCCCCCCGTAAGCTGAGGCGTGCTGCACTGTGTGCATTGTGATTGCTGCAGCCGTTGGCTCAGGGCTGGCAGCTCTGCTCTGTAGCTACATGCATCCTCCCTGCAGCCCTGCAAGGAGCTCTTATAATACTTAATCCACTTAACTAATAGGCTTCTGCGGGAGTTTATTTAAAAGTCATCTACATTTAATAGAGTTCACTATTTTAAAAGAGGCAGATTATTTTCTATTGCATTCCTGCCAGAACACCTCTGGCTTTGGGGCTGGCATCTGCTGACCTTTCTGACTCAGGAGCTCTCTTCAGGGGACCATGAAGGGGAACTAAAGATAGTAGAGCTATTTCCAGCATCCCTGCACTCCCAGGGAGCCCTGTGCCTCCACTAGAAAGAGAGAGAGATGACTGGTGTAAGGCTGGGGTTTTCCATGAGCTCTGTGAGACAAATTCTGCCACCAAACCCCCAGCCGTGAGGGAGCAAACCCACTATCAAGTGACCAGTACCAAATACCCTGTGTTCTGTGTCCTGCTGGCATGGATACAGGTGGTGGAACGGGACAACCATTTTCACATGCTTAATGACAGCACTCTGTTTTACAGGACTGGACAATAATTGTTTTAAAGTACCTTTCTAATGATATATAACTCAGTAAGTAGATGCTTTTTAATGCAAAACACTTGCAGCGTTTTTCTTTCTATTGTGCTGCCTTGCAATTCTCACACCAGTTTTTAAGGGTTGTGTGTCACAGAGGCAACAAAATACCTCACCTGCTCATGGCTGTGATGTGATGTACTGCTGCTCTGCCCTAGAGAGCACCACACAGATGCTGGATAGGGCTGAGAGTGCCTGGACATTGCTTTGTTGTCCTTACAGCACAGCAAGGTGAGCGCTCTCTCCCTGCTGACATGCTGAGGATTTTTCTGTTTCTCTTGGCTCTGATCTTATATTATTACCATAAGTTCACTCAGGGCTAAGCCATGCTCAAACAATTCAATAACAAGCTAAATTCATAACACAACATGCTAAATTCATAATCAAAAGTAAAATGCTCAACAGAACAGGAGAGAAAGGCTTGAGCATGGGGGCAGAGCAGAGCATGACACGGAGTATGGGTGCAGAGCAATGCACCAGCATGCAGCGAGGAGCCAGCAGTGACATCCCTGAGCAAAAGCCTGTCTCTCAATTCAGGGCCCCCTCTCCTCACCTTTAGGATACGTTCCTTCAGTTACAGGGATCCCTTGCAATAGCTCTTTCACACCAAGTCCGACACTCGGTCTCACAGAACTGCTGACAGCTGTGGTTGTCAATGGCAGGAGGCAGCCTTAAAGAGGAATCTGAGCAAGAGGCCAAGCCAAAGCTGCCCGCTGGGTTTTGCATTGCCCTTGAAAAACGGCCATGGAAGTGCAGCTCTCTGTTTGAGGTAAGCATGGTGAGGGAAAGCAAAGGAGCCAGGTGGGTTTCAGTCCACTTGTTCCATGCGAGGCCTCATGTTTGTACAGCTGTGGGCCTTTGCTAAATATGGGCACTTTCTGAGGGGCTCAGCATTTTCACCTCACTTCCCTCCATTCCTCCCCCCCCCCCCTTTCAGGAAATCCAATGCCCAAATGGGGAAGCTGAAAATACAGCAGTAGAAAGGAATGGAAACGTACAGCTCAAGTCACCCTTTGGAAGAAAAGAATTCAAGAAATCCCACAGCAAACCCTTTTTTCCAGGGGCACGTTTGCATTACAAATGAACAAACCTGCCTTGCCATCACATGCCCACCAG